AAATATTTTTTAACATTACTCTCTTTCTCTCTTTCTCTTTGTCTTTCTCTCTCTCTCTCTCTCTCTCTCTCTCTGTAGAAAGTGTGCCATACAATCGCGTTTCCATAACATTAGGCGGTATGCAATGTCATATCTTTAGAGTATAGGTGAATTGACAAGATTAAACTTTTCTTGATTGCACTCTAAAAGCGATATGCCCGATCGTAAGATTACAGGTAGGAATTATAAGAAATGATAAGCTACTGCTACTTCGTAAGAAAACTGTCTGATAACATAACCAATTCGCCGTTAACGAAGAAACCGTTGATCGTCTCTCTTCAACGATAAGGTTCCAATTTTTAACAGTTAAACGATTATGTTAGTCGATTGAAATCAGCGTCTGTATCGACGAGTGCGAAATTCGACGATCATTCAAATTGTATCGTAATAATCGTAATTTAAATGGTCGAAGCTAATTTCCATTCGCGCGATCTCGATAACTAAAATGCTCCAGTCGATTCGTCTATGAAGCAATATTTATCGTACGTTGAACAATGACAGATTGGAATACGCCTGGCAGACTTTCGATGCACGCATTACATAGATAACGATCGTTCGGACTTAACGATTGATTCGCATTCTTATCGAGTCAAACGTGTTATATCTCTAAGTGCGTGCTGCCTACAATACATCGCTTGCAATTATACGAACAGAAAACTATGAACATTACAATAAACAATATTTACCGTTACACGTAATTAACGCCGTGAATCTTAACAATAAATGGAACGTTTAAACTTTACGAATAAATTTTATAGTCACGTTCGGTTCTTATCGGTTGACTTTGACCAATCATTAGTCGCAATTCGGGTATTAAAATTGCACAAAAGGACGTAAAATTTACGCGCGACATTTATGACTGTAATAACATTGTATCGCAATAGTAAAGATGATCGTGATTGTACTGATCCGTTGATAGGGGACGATATTTTTGTTAAAATTAATTTTAGTGTTTGCGTTCGATTTTATAAATGCATTTGAAACGCTGTAATTGTGAGAGAAGAAAATACGAACACTACAAATGTATTACTCAGCAGTTCACTTATCTTACATCAGCTATGACCCTGAACCGAATGTGATAACTGTTATTATATATTACATAATTATCTTGCTGTTAATACGTATATACTTTCTTTTTGACATTAGGTATTTAATACCTAAAATATCTAAAATACCTAAAAATACCAGTCATTGGGACCCTTCCAGGCAACAAGGTCGATTAGTGAACAGTTGTTACGCGAATTGCAGATATGTTGCGCATATTATTCATCTAAATGTAAAACTCTAAATATAAAATAGAATACGATTTCTTAAACTAATATTCAAATAAAACAATAAGTTCTTTGCAATTTGACAGATATAACATCGAGCGAACAATACCTGTTCTCATAGTTAGAGGTAGAGTACGATACAGGGATACGTTACAGATGATAAATCGTCCTTGATACACTTATTCTTATAAATTCTAAATGCGATGTAATTTAATGTATAAATGTAAATAAACTAAGTAACATGTAAATTATATCGTAAGTCAGAGTAAGGGATGAGAAAAAAGAGTTAAATGGTTACGGTTAAAAAATATGACAGGTATAATTTGAATTGGCGCGCGAAAATTCAAGTAACAGGAAGCGAAGTACATGCGATATGGCTTCTATCATTACGCCACCTTTCGTTGAAATAATACTGTCTTAAATTATGTAAGAATTGCTGGTAAAACAGAAGAAGGAGCACAATGAACTAGATTAAATTAACTAAATTCTAAATTATAGAGACATTGACTAAGTACAGGATGGGTCCGTCGTTACATGGGACTTCGTTCGGTCGTATATGTACACAGTACATAGTTATGAAAACTGCCGTGGAAAGGGTAAGGTCCTTAACGCCGAGAGTTTACTTTTGAAATCGACCACCACAGAACGCTGGGAGCAAATGGTTAGGATTTTGTATTTCATGCCATCCTTCAGTGAAGGCAATAACTATGATCGAAGATAAAAAATATAAACTAAAAACCACATAAGAGGTACAGAATAGACGTGACATTTAATGCTTTTTGGGAGTCGCCTGATATCCTTACTATTTTCGGATCACATGCGACGTTATCGATCGAGCATGGTACTTGTTTGAATAAAAACTAAAGTCTTGTATAAAAATATAAATAAAATATAAAACAGCGTATGCAATCGTAAAAAAGTATAGAATTCTATTCTTCTATTATACTTCAGACAGCATACACACTGTCAAAATAATAAATTATTGCAGAACAATATGTAGATGATTCGATTAATTACTTTCAAATAAAATTGTAATTTCATACATCTGAAACATAGAAATGTGAATTTTGTATGCTTCCTATTTTCATCTTTGTATACTCAAATCAATTATTAATTATGTATTATCAAGTATAGGTAGTCTGACTTACAATCGGAAATTCGCAACACGATTTATCAGTGACCCAACAGCCAAATTACGTCTAATGGTAAAATCAAAAGACTAACGAAAGAAATAGAGGGAGCAACAAAAAGAGCAAAAGATGAACAAAATTTTATGTCTGTAGCTAAATACATACATCGGTCAAGCACCCAATCTTCATTAACATACTAAAACTAAGCCTTGAATTGGCAAAAATCGCAAAATCTCGAATGAGTTGGCGGTATGTGCCATGTGTATTCGATGCTCTAGGTTGATGGTAAAACAGCCTCAAAAGGATTTAAGTACACGACCCTTTCTTTTCGAGAACTTAATCGAGAAATTATATTCTTGGTACAGCAATTTCGTATGATTTAAATTTTTTGATCACTATTTTTACCCGCAAAATTGTAAAAATATATAGGAATACTACAGTAAATAAAAATAACCAAAAATTTATCAAAATAAGTTGTACAAATTTCATAAAAACAACATGTCAATACCAATTGATTGGATCAGTGTATGAATTGATAAATACGAAATTCAAAAATTATTCAAATTGTATTGTAATAACCGTAATTTAAATCGGTAAAGCTAATTTCGATTTACGCGATCTCGATGACTAAAACACTCCAGATGATTCGTCTATGAAGTAACATTTATTGTACATTCAACAACAACAGATTGGAATGCGCTTCACAAACCTTCGATACGCGCATTAGATAGATAATAATCGTTCAAATTTAACGACTGATTCATGCGATCTTCTTATCAAGTTGAACATGTTATCTCTTTAAGTGCGAGCTGCGTGCAATATATCACTTGTAATTATACGAACAGAAAATTACGAACATTGCATAAACAACATTTACTGTTAGACATAATTAACACTGTGACTCTTAACAATAAATAAAACGTTTAAACTTTACGAATGAATTTTATAGTCACGTTCGGTTCCTATCGATCGACTTTAACCAATCATTAATCGCAATTAGGGTATTAAAATTGCACAAAAGGATGTAAAATTTATGCACGACATTTATGACTGTAATAACATTGTATAGCAATAGTAAAGATGATCGTAATTGTACTGCTCTGTTGATAGGGGGAAAATATTTTTGTTAAAATTAATTTTAATGTTTGCGTTCGATTATATAAATACATTTGAAATGCTGTAATCGTGACAGAAGAAAATGTGAAGACTACTCACTTATTTTGCGTCAGCTATGTCTGATCTTGAACTGAATAGGATAAATGTTTTTATATATCACACAATTATCTTACTCTTAACAGGTATCTACGTTCGTTTTGATGTTAGGTATTTGAATATAGAATGGAATATGAGATTTTGTACAAAACCTCATAAAAACATTAGTCATTGAGATCCTTCAAGGTGGTATGATTGGCAAGTCAACAGTTGTCATGCGAAGTGTAGATATGTTTCGGATATTATTCATCGGAAATGTAAATATGTAAAATAAAATACGATTTCTTAAACTAATATTAAAAAAAAAAACGATAAGTACTTCATAAATTAACAGATATAACATTGGACGAGCGACATCTGTTATCATACTTAGAGATGTACGATGTAGGCATGCGCCACAGATGATAAATCTCTTGATACGACTCACCGTTTTAAATTCTAAATTCTAAATCATAGAAGCATTGACTAAATACAAGATAGACCCGTCATTATATAGAACTCCGTGTTTCAGGTTCTAAAATACCAACCTTGGCAAAATCAGAGTGTCTTTTACACCCTCCGCAATTTACAACGGCGTACATAGGAATTAGGTATAATGTGTCCATCAAGACTAGGTCGTAAACGTAAACAAAATTTAATTACTGCGATTGATACTCAAATGTTACCTGTTGGCAGTCGCAGTAATCAAATTTCGTCTACGTTTACTGCCTCGTCTCGTTGGACAAACTATTCGTACGTGTTATGATTTAATTCGATTAAATAAAGTCAATTATTTAGTTGAAAGCATAAATCATGTTTAGTTTGAAATAAAATTATATTTTTAATAATTATAATAACAAGAAAGAGAGAGGAGGAAGAAACGTGAAAATAAATGAAGAGAGAGAGAAAAAAGGAGACAAAATGTAGAAAGAGACGAGAGAAAGGTAAAAAGCTATGAGAAGGAAATGAAATAAATTATACTTTGTCTACGATAATAACAAAGAATGCAAGCAACTAATAATGTTAACATAACCACTCAAAGCTTTATCACGGTCATATAAACACGTCTCGACACTCATATGGCGAAAGCATAAAAGGAACCATCCGAGAATTGAGTCGTGAAAAATCAACATGGAAAATAAGGTTTACGTTTTGCGCATCCATGAAATGCTATGAATGTTTCAGATAAAAACAAAAAGACTCTATTCATCGTTGTCTTACATGTTAATTTTTCACGATTTGTTTATATGACCATATGTATACTTGCATCGATAAAATCACATACGATGTGAAAATCGTAAGATTGGACACGACAAAACTGGCACGAGTGGTTGAATGTCAGGTCTATCCTGTAGTTACAATTAGTCAACGGTAGAGGGCGTGATATGATAAAATTTCTGATTTTTCGAACGCAATCAGTTTCAGAACGCATAACACCAATTTCCATAAAATATCATCTCGTCTCTAGTAAAAATGTGTACAAGTGTGTCATCTACATTAGTATTTTTTCTATGATACTAGTGTCCTAAAGTTTTGATATGGGCACATTATACACCTTAATATGTGGTTAATATTGTTTAAAATCATCTAAAAACTTATATAGAAGCTATTTTCGTTTTACATAAATTGTACCAGATGTTGTTTCAGTTTTGTCACGTGGGTTGCAAAACTAAAATTAATGCGACATTTTTAAATGTTACACGACACTATGTAAATAATTTTGCCTTCCGCCTTACTTTACCTAGTATGTTTATAATTAACCACTTATAAATTTTAATTTAGGCAAGGGCGGTTGTTAAAATTCGACGAAAAGGGAACGACGTCGCTAATAATGAAGTAAAACGTGAGAAAACAAAAACACCAATAATAAAATGTAAAAAGCAGATGTATGATTTTTACGAAGGTGATAAATTTTCCAAAGAAAAACCGATATTGGCCAGTCAGAGCTGGAAAAACAGAAAGTCTAAAGGCGATCATTTCTTTATATACCCTTACAACAATGTATTTTTTGTTTATAATAATTTGTACCTATAGCTATATTATTGTAATTCTTTTACCGATTGTAATTAATTCTTCAGGATGTTGTGGAAACAAATGAGGAAGTTGGTTCTGAAACATTTCAGGATCTTGATGTAAATGCTTCTTTATGTAATAATTTAGAAGATTTAAATATATACGAACCTTTAGAAATCCAAAAGCTTGGAATACCAAAAATTTTTCAAGAATGTAATGTATTAATAGCAGCAGAAACAGGATGTGGGAAAACATTAGCTTATCTTCTGCCATTGATAACTAAAATTGTGTTATGGAAACAAAAAGAAGAGCAAAGAAGCATAAATACACCATTAGGATTAATCGTAACTCCTTCAAGAGAATTAACAGTACAAATCGGGGTTTGTAGCAATAATTTAATATGATGCTTTCACTTATGAGAAGAGTGTTTAAAAAATATATTCTTTTTCTTAGTTGCAACTAATTAAGCTATCTAAGCACCTTAATATTAAAACAAAGATAGTCACTGGTGGGAGGACAAAAAGGATAATATCGGATCCTCCTGTGGGGAACATTGATATTCTAGTTTGTAGTTTTGGAGTTGTTAGTAAATTGACAACATTTGGTGTATATGATCTCGCATTTGTAAGATTTGTCGTGTTAGACGAAGCAGATTCTTTGTTTCATTCTTCCTTTGAGACAAAGCTAAAAATATTTCTGAGGAGAATACCGGTATGTAGAATAAAAAAATAGATAAAGCATTCCATGAAATAATTATGTACGATAATACTTCTTAGTAACTACTTTAATTTGTATAGATTGGGTATCATCAGTACGATACAACCGAGAATGAATTTCCTAAAACAGCTCAACTCGTTTTAGTCTCTGCATCAATTCCGTCAGGTCTTAAAACTGTGCTGAGCGACATCATAAATGTAAGTAGTATCCGAATTATTCGTAAAATAATTTCACTTTAAAGGATTATAATAACTTGTTTATAGATAAATTCTTTGGAACATGTAACAACGGAAAAATTACATAGAATACTGATTCCACAAAAGTTTGTAAGATTAATTCCAAGCCAAAAGCCCATAGAGCTTGTGAAATATGTAAAAAGCAAGGTATTAAATAAACAGCGTGTAATTGTATTCAGCAATCGAAATAGTACCTCCTATTGGATTTCCTTATTTTTACACGAATGCGGTGTCAAAGTTACAAATTTAAATGGCGATATGCCATTACATGTACGACGAGGAAAATACGGGGAATTTCTAAATGGCAAAACAATGGTGTTATCTACAACGAACGGAGGATCCCAAGGTTTAGATACAATAATGGTTAATCATATCTTAAATTATGATTTTCCCTTAGACACGTCCAGCTACATACACAGGTATTCAATTTAAATAAGTGATGATCGTTCTAAATTCTAAATGCTCTATTTGAAAAAGACAATAAAGTATTACACATTTTATTTAGATGCGGTCGAGCTGGCAGAATAGGTACCATAGGTGTGTCTAGAGTAACAAATTTTATTTCCAAACCGAGCGAAATCGTCGTAGTTCAAAAAATTGAAAGGGCAGTTAGAAAAATGAAACCAATACCTGTGTTTAACCTTCTGGATAGGAAAGACGAAAAGGAAGAAGAAACAGAATACGATTTTACAGAGGAAATGATCGAAAATCTAGATGAAGTCGAAAATATTCCATATTGAAATTTATATATTATGAATAAAAAAAGGATAATAACAGTTTGCTTGTTATAAAATTTGACCGCTTTTTCAGTCACTTCTATTATTTTCTTTCCATTCTGTCTATTTTCGTGATACACGTTCACTGATACGAAAAGTCTTCTGTGAAGCCTTTGCAATGAATGTAGATAGGGTCGAAGAATCTATCCAAGTGTCATCGCCCTTAAACCTATTCAGTTCTATTAAAGGTTCGACTTTTAACAAAGTTAGTAAGAAATGTTTGTTAACCCTACGCTTGTTGTTGATTTGTTTTATCTTTGAAATTTCAAAATTTTATGTTTTTGGTTCGAGAAAGGATGCACCCACACATGTGTTTCCATTCATCCGTCGATCCAATGTTCCGTCATGTCCGGCGACACTCCCACACTGACCGCCTACACGTATCGCAAGCAGAACTTCTATAATAATCCAGACCGTGCGTCTAGACCAGTTTATTACTCGCATTGACTTTTAGTGAAATTAAGCGCGCTTACTCGTGCTAACATTTGTCACTCTCTCTTCCTCTCTATAAAGGGTGTGTCATACAATCGCGTTTCCGTAATATTCCGCGGTACACAATGTCATGCCTTTACAGTGCAGGTGATCACTCATGAATCAGCGAAATCAAATTTTTCTCGATATCTTAAAAAATGTTTACCTCGATCGTAAGTTTAGCAAAATATGTATCGGAAAGATGTATCAAATTAAAATCGTTCTTGTTATCTGTTTCGTAAGAAACGATAAGCTACCGTGTTACTTCGTAAGAAAAATGGCTGGTAACATAACCAGTTTCTTATTAACGAAGAAAACTGTTAACTGTCGAAAAAAGAAGAAACGGTAATATAGTAAATAGGAATAAAGTAATGAAAATGAATTACATAATTAGTATTAGTGGTTGCGTGACACGTAAGACATATATGGGGGAATTTCATAGATATACGTCCAGATGCTCGAATTAAAAACCGTCGCTGTAGGTTAATGAAAGTATTTTCTGAATAAATTCAAAATCTTGTATATAATTCTTTAAGTAGGTACATATACATATCTTCGTTCGAACATTGACAAACGACTGCCCCAAAAACATTGTACATATTTCAATTATTTAAAAAATGATGTCTTGCAGCTTTCGTCTCCCATAGCAACTATAATCCGATATTATAACAGAGCATTCGATGTTCTAATTTAATCTTAATTTCTGAATTAAAGAATCGGACACGGCTGACCTGTATTACAAAGAGTCAATTCGTTGAATTACGGTCGCAGTGAATCTGATTAGGGCAAACGTTAGAACATTTTCGACGATTCTCTGTACAATTTTTTAGTTAGTCGGCATCATCAAATTTATGAGTAAGATAGACTTAGTCGAAGAAGAAAAAAATGATAGAATCTATTTTTCGGGATATGTGTTACGACTTTAAGAAAGAGAAGAATGTAAAATTGAAAAAATATCAATCGTACAATGTGCGAGGACATATGTATTATATATAAAAATAATATAATAAATAATAAAATAAAAATATATAGAAATAAAAATATTTGATATGTTCTCGACCGCCGGCAATTTATCCTTGTAACGAGCGGTATAGTTTCGAAGAGACGCGAACGTCGAAGTACAATGGAGTGGGGGTCTCGGTGGCTGTCGTCGTAATAGAAGCGAACTCAGTCGTTTTGCGGCGCGCAACCTGTTAGCGTCGTGGTATCGTGTACGGTGATATGATCTACGGTTTCGTTCCATTTAACGTTCATTTATACGATTTCTTTGTTCAAATAGAAATCTCGTAGTGTTTCGTCTGTTCACGATTAAAATCTAAAAAGTATTACTTTCACGGAAAGGGTAATTCGAAATTCATGTACCGATATCGTCGAAGGAAAGGATACGGATCGACACGCCAGGTCCGGGTTGACGAACCCTCTGTGAAAGAGGCGGACACGTCGGTTCCGTAAAAATGCAGCGCGTCGTTGGAGCATTTGGTTAACACGCAATATACCTGCAAGTCGCGCGCGAACGATACTCGGCAAACAACGTTGTGAAAATCCAGTCAAACAAGGGAGCAGTTTATTGCGTTGCACTTGCAGTAGTAAGGAAACTGATCAAGAAAAGGAGGAATTTCTCGGTATATGTATTCGGAAGGACGACAACAACGACGACGACGACGACGACGACGACGACGACGACGTATCGGCAGCACGTTGTTGGATCGCTGCCCTGGAGGGAATCGAGTTTCAATCTCGAATCGATGGATTTTCAAACTCAACCGACCAAACTTATATATAGTACGAGCGATCGTGCCTTGCGAAGTAACCACTTTGCATCAGGCAAAAATATATCGTGAATTCGTACAACGTGTTTAATAACAATACATCTGATCGATCGTTGATCGTTCGATCGGAATCCAGTGATATGTGCGAAGAGAACCGAAGCCAGGAAGGGACGCGGAGATAGGAAACGTGCGTGCTGGATGAGTGGTGTGTCAGTGGGAACGATTTCGTTTATTTTGTGTCGATAAAAAGATTCGGAAGCCGCTATATTGGAGAAGAAGCGAGAAAGCGGCGTGCCGCTCTTCTGTGTACCGCGGCAAAGGCGATCGTCGCAGCCCGAAAATGTAAGTTCTCTCTGAATCAGTAGGTTACTACATTTCTAGAATGAATATTCGTTTCCGGTGCATTTCGAACGTCCGGTAAGCGAAACTGTATTTGTGACGCGTTTCTGAGAACGAAGTCATCGCGATACGATACGATACGTTATACGTAGAGTATATACACGTTCGAGTGTAAATCTTTGCTAGAGATTTAAAAACGTTTGTCACAAATACAATTTTCCGGAAGGTGAACGTTTTGCGAAAGAACTATCTCCTGCTGCGAAACGCTAATTCATATTCCGCAAGAAAGTTGGGTTAATGTCGAGGAATACCGGTAGGTGAAGGTCACCGTTGTTCACTGGACGCCAATACCGTAGTACCAGTGAATTCGTGGCGCTGCAACACATACATACATACATACATACGTATATACGTTTGTAAATACGTACGTATGTACGTAACTACATCATATACGTATATATGTATGTATATACGTATATGTAGCGTAGATTTTCTGCTAATCGAGTAGCGATTTCTCATTTAAATTTTTATAGTGTATTATATATTCTTTTCTTTTGCCATTCGCAGAGACTTATTGAAAAAACGAAGTGTATACTTCTTCGCGTAACGGCTTTTCCAATGCCTAACCTTAACCACGATTTTTAACTCTTTTCAGTCTCCAATTCTCCAACTTTTTATTTTGAATGTGCTTCTTCTATAATCGTAACCAGTGTATTTCGTTCTGTGAACGTGAGTGTGTAAGGTAATTTTTCACGATAATTGTACGGATTGGTCGTTTCATTGACTTGAAATGGAATATTCGAGGGCGTGATGCGATTCGATCGACCACCCACGTGTCTGCGAAATAGCGTTAACGAATTCGTTCTTGTTTAACATTTTAACAGAATAGATTAATCGAGATTAAACGATTTCGTATTTTTGTCACGATCGGCGTAACGTCGAATATACTTCTAATATATTATATTTATACGTATACGTATATTTATACTGGTTGGAGTCGCAAATACAGTTGACCATCCAGTACATTTTACGATCAATATGTATTTTTACGAAAAAGCGGTGAAAACGAACGTATCCCAATGTAGCCATTCCAGGGAGAGAAAACTTTGCGCGTAGCGTATAATGTTATTGTATTCTCAGCACGTATAGGCAATGGGAGTTCGTTATTACGCCTACTTCCGGTGGTCAGTTCATGGCGTGGAGTCGCTCAAGCTTTAACGGGCTGCTCGAATATTTCAAGTATACATATATTTCTCTCGCGATGGAAAATTTGAACGTGTTCCATGCGTTTGTTTAACATATACGCAAAAAAAAAAAAAATAGCCGAAAAAATAACTACATTTGTGTCGATTTAAAGCATATTCTAGACTATGCGTATCTGTATAGAAATTTCCGGATGCTTAGAAACACGGACGAGGAAAAATATACCTGAACCGAATGATTCGTGTGAAAGGCCCAACCTACTATTTGAAAATTCCGAAGAAGAACGCCAATCCCAGATGGAATTTTAGGACAGCTGCAGGCGCATACCTAAGCCATACCCAGGCAGACTTGCCTCGGGTCTACAGATATAATACGCTCGTAAAGTCGATCCCTCGTCCTAACTCCACTCCCTTCGAAATTGATAGATAAAAATTACTCCGCTTTTGCTCAGATTGTAATCGAAGTAGAACTCTCGTTTAAAAACATTTTGCCCGCTAACTCGTACAATATCAACGACTTTCTAAACTCCTGACCACAGAAGTGGAAAATCTTTCCGTTTACCGGTAGATGACTTTACTCGATCCAGTTGTTTAAAATCATCATGCCCGAGATGTTTGTTCGTCGATTGTTGCAACACAGTCCCATTACTACTATATCCACGAGACACAGAGAAGAAGCGGAATGTTAGCGAGTAAACGTGTTTTTCCCGAACGACCTATATCGTGGATCGCCTAGGGCCTAGACTGTTTCCTGCAGCAATAACCTTCCCACTAGAGTCGAATATATCGTCGGTGATCGTATGCCGGTGTTGGGTTGACAGGATACAGGTTCTTTAAAAGTAATCAAAGGCAATTAATTAAAGCCGGATGCGTCGATTGACCTCTGAATAAGTTTGCCAGGGTTCGAGCACCGGAGATTTGGCCCTTTCGTTCCAACTTTCGAGCTTGTTCTTCGTCGTCGTCGGTCACTGAAAGCGATCATGCTCGATTTAAACGCGTCCACAAACTCGTTCCATATCGAAGATCGAAGAAATTGTATATAATCGTTGTAGCAGATACAAAACACCGATCGTAAGGTCGTAAGTACATCTAAGCGTAAAAACAAGATAAAAATAAATTCGTTTTTTTCATAACACTGCCTGCCGCCGTCTTTCCATCTATTTACATTTCTATTTCGATTTGTGGAAAAGAGGAAAAATTAAGATAGGAAAAAAAACAGAAGAAAAAATACAAATTCAAATCGAAATAAGGCAACGAAAGGATCGAATATCCGCGTGACAAAATTCTCGTAAATGATCGTCGTTGGAATTCCAGGTCGTCGAGGGGAGCGAACTCTACCTACCTATACACGATAGAGCATATGCTAAGCGATACACGTAAAATAAAAAGAATCGAAATAGCGAAAGGACAAGCTAGAGCAGTCCAGCTCGTAGGCTGAACGATATGCGACACGGGGATCGATAATTGCGACGAAATATATAGAATTTAGTGGAAACAACGGAACGAGCGATTCGCGCTGGGAAAAATCGAACGCGAACGCAATACCTATGCACATATGTATATACTGTTATATCACAGCGTGCGGCTAACTGTAAAAACATCGAACAAGGTAGTAGATGAACGTCTAGCTACTTACGGGCAGCGTTGTCACCGGTGCGTACGTTCAAGTACGCTGCGTCGGAAAAGCACCGTCACCTGACACGCGAGCGACCACGAGACCCCTTGCCGAGAAGTTTGCTTCTCTCTGCTAGGAGGAATAGCGGCGCACCATCTCATTCACCGACTCTCGTTTTACTTGTTTTATGATTTGCAAGTGCTGCTTCGTCTCGCACCTGGAACGCTGTATATCCGTATAATTGCGAAATAAAACGACGATCTATGCCATCTTATACAAAGTTTAGCATCTCGAATACGTTCAGGATCGCCCTACGATCTACAACGGCGAAGCTTTCGTCACGCGATTCGGTAAAGTCGCCTGATTTTATTTTGGCTTTGGTAAACGCCTGCTTTCACGATCCTTTCGTCGAAATACGCGTAACTCGCGCGCTTATCCGTTACGAAAGTAACCGTGTCTTGGAAGAAACGTTCCACTTGTCTTTTTACGGAGGTGCGAATAAAACGCACGCGTAGCATGGTAGTACGTAGCGGTTTCGATGATTTCGAAGCGATTCAACTTCCCGTTGGGGAACGCGAGTTGACTCGCGAGTCTCGC